GTCCATTTGCATTTAAAATAACTATTGATAGATATGTACTTATTGCCATCATGTTAGTTGTTTTATTACTGTTCCTTCCTTCTCATGATCTCTTTGTTGTTTGATAACTTACTGTAGTGGTATGCTTATATTTCTCTATCTTTGTGTGTGTACTATAGGTTATTGCTTTGTGGCTGCCATGAGGCTTACACATAACAGTTTATGTTAAAAACAATCTACTTCAGTTGATAAGAAGTTAGGCTTGAACACCTTCTGATGCTCTAAATTTTTACTCTCCCCTTCCACTTTTTATGTTGTTTTTCTCTTGCTGCTTTTCAGGTTCTATCCTTGTCTTTAACTTTTGACACTTTAATTGTAATGTGTTACGCATGGTGTGGGTCTTTTGAATTCCTCTTATTTGGATCTCTGGGTTTCATGGATCTGGATATCTGTTCCCTTCTCCATTTTAGGGGAGGTTTCAGTCATTAGTTCTTCAAAAAAAGTTCTCTGCCCATTTCTCTCTTTCTGTTCTTTCGGGCACCCTGATGATGTGAGTGATTATCTGATTGATATTATGTCATAATTTCATTAAACTATCTTCAGTTTTTTTTCATTCAGATGCTCTAACTGGGTTAATTCCACTGCCCTGTATACAAGTTGACTTATCCTTTCTTCTGCATTATCTAATCTGTTATTGAACCCCTCTTATATTTTGGTGCTGTCTTTAGTTAAATTACTGTATTCTTTAGCTCTGTGACTTCTGTTTGGTACTTTCTTATATTTTTCCATCTCTTCTTTGAAGTTCTTGCTGTGTTCATTCATTCTTCTGTTTAATTCAGTGAGCATCATTATGATCATTATTTTGAACTCTATCAGGTAAATCACTTACCACCATATTATTAAGAAATATTTCTAGAGTTTAACTGTTCTTTAGTTTGAAACATAATCTTTTGTTTCTCCATTTTGTTTGACTCCGTGTGTTGGTTTCTGTGAATTAGATAAAACAGCCACCGCTCCCACTCTTGAAATAATGGCCTTGTATAAGAGAAGAACCTTATTGTTCAGCCCTGCCCTAGTTCTTTGTTGTCTTTGAAATTTTGTGATTGTCCAAGCAGTCTTTTTTATTTTTGATGGCTCCAAGTTGTAGAGGGTGTGCCAAGACCTGTCAGCATCACAGAGGGGAACAGCTCAGTATGTAGATTGAGGCTGATTAAATGGAAGACCCTCAGACAGCAGCTTTTAAATTATGCAAATATACATAGTCCTGTGGGACTGCAAGCACAATCCTACCAGATTGAGGTGATTTGAAGGTGTCCCCTAGGCAGCAGTTACAAAACTCCAGGCACCAAATTAGTGTATACACTTCTTTCTGGGAAATACCAGCAAAATGGAATAAGGCCAACGAAAAGAACAAAAATGGTGTCCACCAGCCTGTGGTCCCTGAAAGTGCCTCCATAGGCCCCTCTGGCTGTATTGCAAACATGAAGCCTGCCACTCAGGCCAAAGCTCCAGCACAAGCAAATAGGCCTCTTTCATAGGACTAGGGATGTGTTTCAGTCTGCTGTATGTGCAGTGCTCTGGGTGTGGTAGCCTGCCAAAAACTGTCTCTCCAATTGTTAGTCCTGTGGGACCTAGGAATGCAAACTCCCTGGCCACCAGAGCCAGGAAGTCAATGGACGTCCCCCCGGCAATAGCCAGAGAAACCATAGCTATAAAAGCTGGAACAGATGTGTGTAAAAACTCCCCTCTTGGAGACAGTGGCACTCTGGAACACGTCAGAAAGAGAGGGTGAAGATAGTGTCCACCACCCCAGCTCATGGAAAGGATTACAGTTAGACGTGAGATGTATGTTAATTAGAAACCTGGCCCTCCGGCAGCTGCTATAACAAAAAGCCTAACAGGCTTCTTTCATAGAAAGACTGGGCTCCTATATCTGTTGCCCCTTGCTGTGGCCTGAGAGTGGTAGTCCTTTAAGAACTCTTTCTTTGTTGGTTATAGTCCTGTGGAACCTGTGAGGATAAGCCCTGCTGGCCATTTTAGCCAGACAATCTAGAGATGTCCCTGGCAGCAGCCACAAAAATCAAGACATCAAACAAGGATATAAGCTTTTTTCTGAGAGATACCAACAAGCTGAAGCATGGCAGCAGGGAGTTCAAAGATTGCATCCACCAGCCTCCATTGCCTGATAACACTTCCATAGGCTCCTAGATGTGTGCAAACCATAAGCCTGCACCTCAGCCCTAACCTCCTGGACAAGCGAATAGGCCTCTTTCACAGAAAGACTGGGGATGTTTCAGTGTGCTGTCTGTGCAGTGCCTAAGTATGGTAGCCTGCCAAAAACTTGCTCCAGTTGTTATATCTCATGGGACCTAAGAACACAGGCCCCCAACCTCTAGAGACAGGCAATCAAGGAGCATCTCCTGGGCGAAAGCCATAAAAGTATGGCACCAGAACTCAAACCTAAGGTTTCAGATGTGTGTAAAAGCTCCCCTTTGGGAGATACTGCACTCTGGAGGGAGGCACAGGGAGTGGCCTCCACTGGCTGGAGCAAGGCAGAGTGTAAAGATGGTACCTGCTAGCCTCCATCCCTGGAGAGTATCCCAGCAGGCCCTAGATGTGTGTTAAATTAGATGCCTGCCCCTTAAACCAAGGCTTTAACAAGGAAATAGCCTCTTTCACAAAAAGTCCGGGCATTTCAATCAGCTGCTTCTGCACTGGGCACTGCTGCAGGTAGATTAGTGAGCCCGTGTACTGTTTAAGAACTGTTTCTCATTTCACTATAATCTTGTTTGGTCTCATGGATGTGAGCCCCATTGATTTTCAAAGCTAGATGTTTTGGGGAGTCATCTCTCAGTTTCAAGTCTTAAAATGTGCGGTTCAAACTCTTCACTCCCCAGGAGGAAGCTCCAGGTTTTCAGTTCTCTCCCAATTGTGAGTCACCATCCCAGGGGTAGGATTTATAATGAGTGTGTTTCAGCCCCTTCTGCCTGCTTAAATGTGGGTTTTTTCTTGTTTTCCCAATATGTGGGAGTCCTCAACTAGTTCTTAAAAGAGGGGGTTTTAAAAGACTATTCCTCCTTTATGGAACTGTAGAGTTGGTGTGTCTGTGCAGAGTTGAGTTCAGGATCTTCCTACGTTGGCACCTTTAACTGGAACTCCTCCCATGTTCAATAGGTCATTATTCTCAATAACCAAGATACAGTATCAAGCTAACCTAAATGTCCATCAGTGGATAAATGAGGGAAAAAATGTGGTTTATATATGCACAAATATAACAAATATTTAGCCTTTAGAAAGAAGGAAATCCTGTCATTTCAACAACATGGATGAATGTGGAGTACATTATGCTAAGTGAAATAAGTCAGGTACAGAAAGATAAGTACTGCATGATCTCACTTATATGTGGAATCTAAAAAATTCCAACTTCCAGGAGCAGAGAGTAGAATGGCAGTTACCAGAGGGGTGTGGGTGACATAGGGAGGTACTGGTCAATGGGTACAAAGGGGCAGTTATGTAGGTTGAATAAGAATACAGCTCTAGTGTACAGTGTGTTGACTGTAGTTAATAATACTATATTAAAAACTGGAAATTTGCTGGAAAATTGTCTCTTTGCACACCTTAAATGCAGTTTTTATTTAAATGTTAAAAAAGAAAAAAATTAGCCACAATAAAAAGTAAAAAGAAATATAAAATTAACTTTAATTATACATCTTATTTAACCCATTATATCTAAATTGTTATTTCAAGATGTAATGAATATAAAAATTTTGATGTTTTACTCTTTTTTCATATTCAGTCTTCAAAATCTGTGGCGTATTTCCACTTAAAGACATCTCAGATTGAACTAGCCACATATGGCTAATGGCTACCCTATGGGATTGTACAGATCTGAATAACAGGAATTCCAGAAAAACAGAATAGATAAGGAGAAAGAGGCAGGAAAGAAACAAAATAAGAAAGTTTCTAAGAACTTAAAGGATACTAGTTTCCAACTTTAGCAGGCTCCCAGAAAGCCCAGCAAATAGATGAATCAGACCCAGATGAAGGCATTTCATAATATTTCAAAATGCCAGGGACTCAGAGAAACCTCTACAGGCTTCAAAGAAAATGAAAAAATTAAAAGGTTACAAAGGATCACATATCAACATGACTTTAGACTTCTCAACAATAATAGATAGATAGAAGACGATGGATCAGTGCCTTTAAAATTCTGAAGGAAAAGCACCCCCAGCTATAATTCTATAACTAACCAAAATACCAAACAAGTTAGGGGACAGATAAAAGGCATTTTCAAGTATTCAAGGTCTCAAAAATGTACCTGCCATTGCTACTGAAGAATGTGTTACACCCAACAAGGAAGTAAACCAAGAATGGGAAAAATGTGAGACACAAGAAACAGGATAAAGATGAAAGGAGTCCCTACGATGCACCTGTGAACCAGGCCTAGAAATCAACCAGTTCAGATTAGAGTAAGTCAGAAGGAACCAAGGAAGACTTCATCAAAAAAATCCAATTCATAGAATACCTGACAGGACTAATTATGGATGTAAAAAACTGGCAGAGATTTTTGGGTTAAATTAGTCATACATACCCAGAAAACTAAGCAAATAAGAGATTAAAAATATAAAGTTATAAATTCTCAATGTTCAGTAATTTAAATTATTAAGAAGTTGGGGTTGGCAGGTAAATAAAGTGGAACAAGTGGTAAAAGAGTTAAAACCTCATCTTTCTTAATATGAAATACATTGTTCTTAAAAAGAAGTGTTAAAAAGGAGCAATATAGGCATCTTATCTGAAAATACAAAGATAAAAAACAAAATAATCAGGTATAGAAAATGGTTCTGGAGAAGGGAAAATAAAGGAAAAAAGGTCTGCCATTTCTTGCAAATTTTATAAAACTATGTCTAAGTCTGAAGTATGCACATGTATTTTTATTTAAAAAAACAAACATGGGCAATAACAACTCTGAATGAATAAAGGACTTTTACCAGCCATTGCTGATGAGTGTTCCTGTCTCCTAGCATTGAGTATTGGTTCCGCTGCATGGACGTGGATGGGGACGGTGTGCTGTCCATGTACGAGCTGGAGTACTTCTACGAGGAGCAGTGTGAACGGATGGAGGCCATGGGCATTGAGCCCTTGCCATTCCATGATTTGCTGTGCCAGATGCTTGACCTGGTGAAGCCAGCCAGTGATGGTAAGATTGAGTGATGGGCCATTTCCACTGTTCACCTGTGCAACCGAGTGGGGCATATAATCCTGTTTGTCCTGAAATACTTAACTCTACAGAGGCTTTCATACAGTCTTCCCAAATACAGAAGTATTTAAATTTCTCCTTTACTATTAGTATAGAACCAATAATTTATGGCAAATCCTGTTTAAGAAATGGGTTTTTTTTTTCCATAGAAACAGAAAGCAATTAGTGATTGCCAGGGGCTGGGGAGGGGTCAGGTAAAGAGAGATGGGGTGGCACTGCTTGATGAGAGAGTACAGAGTTCCCTATTGAAAGGTGAAGAAAATGTCAAGGAAATCAATAGTGGTGATGGATGCACAACATTGTGAATATACTAAAAGCCACTGAATTATACACTTTAGAATGGTTAAGATGTGAATTTTACCTCAAAAAAAAAAGAAATGAGATTTTTATAATAAAATAAATGTATACGTATTCTTTTTAAACGTCAAGAGAAGTTTTTTTTTTCATTTGCCGAAACAGCTCTTGGAATTCACCAGCTTTGTTTTCATGTAGGCAAAATAACTCTACGAGATCTGAAGAGATGCAGAATGGCTCACATCTTTTATGACACTTTCTTTAATCTGGAGAAATACTTAGACCATGAACAGAGAGATCCCTTTGCAATCCAGAAGGTAACAGTATAGTTTTAAGTTCTATTTGAGGGTTGCAGTGTCAGTGGCTGTGTGCTACAGGTAAAAATGGTTTCTGTCTGCAGGAATCGAGATACTTAGAGGTAACATTTAAAACATTCCATCACGTACTGAAAAGAGAGAATAAAGGACTAGAGCACGTCTCTCCTGACACCTAATCAAGTATAGGTAACCTGTATTTGCCTATCAGTGAGTGAATTTTATGGCCTGTGTGTACTTACATATACATTAGAAACTAGTTATAAAATTTTTTGACAAACGTTTCTAACTTAAAAAATGTGTCAAGAGCACATCTGTATTAGAAAGTATGTTGGGTTTGATTTAATTATATCATTCATTTCCAGAATGACATGGTAAATAGCTTTCCCCATCATGATGAAAACGAGAAACTCTCTGTGATAACCTTCAGATAACATAACACTGTTTCAACTGTTAATGGTTGCTGTTCATGACTATCAGTTTGAAATCATTCCACACCTGAATAGAAATGAGTACCTTCCACATATACAAAAACCTGTGGACCCTCAGAAAACATGGATATATGATCCCTGTCAAAAACAAACAAAAAGCAGAATATCACCACTTCCTCCTCTATATTCTGTTTTAAAAGTAAAAATTATGTTGATAGAAAAGGACTGTCTTAGTGGGTCCTACAGGAATACAACCACAGGAAACTTAGAGTCTTTTCTTTCCACACAATGCATAAATTTTTGACCTAAATAGTAGTGAGAAGATGAAGATCACCTCCTAAAAACAAATATTCATTGCCAATTGTAAGTCTAAGATACATGCCAATTTTACAGTTGTTAAAAGGGTGGGGCTGAGGTTCTAAAAATGGATTAAGTGTAGTAACACAATGTGTGTTCAGTTCTTAGGTACTTGCATTTTTCTAGACATAACTAACCTTACATCATAGGAAATTGCTAACTCATTTTCATTATGGAAAAACATATTTCACCTGGAACATATAGTCCAAGATGCTGCCCATATTGTAGAAAGGAAAGAAAATGTATAGCCTTTTCCCCCTTTATTTCTTGTATTTGTGTTACAAATTTTACTTTTAAATATATACCTTTAAATTTTGCTTTTCTTTATAAGAGGTGGTAATTATCAATATTTGTTCTGATGTGCAAAAAAAATGATCAGTGAGAAAGTGCTCAATAAATTCTAGGCACTGTGTTGAAGAGACACTGGTTATGTGGAGATGAAAAACACTCAGTATGTGAAGAATGGGTATATAGAGATGAAAAAGAGCCAAAGGTGGCAAACAAGCATGTACAATATAGCAAAGGAAATGATTTGAGGGAGAAGGGCTATGTCCAGAAAGACAGCACAGATGACATGGTGTCTTACCTGACCTTTAAAGAAGCAGTAAAAATTTGCCAGGGGAAGGAAGGAATGGGACATTCCAGGTGAGCATACACAACCCACAAGTCACACTCTAGATGGATGCTGGGCAAAGTGCAAGCGAAGAAGGGACTAGAGAAAGGTCTCTGGTGGTGAGGCTAAAGAATCTAGACCTAAAGAATCTAGCTCCTGGAAAGTTCATTATAATTTCGTGATTGGAAAATCACCTTAGGAGTGTTAACCTTAACACTTCTTTAACATGTGGAAATGAAACATTTTTAGATAAGTTTTTTTCAGTGATCTATAACATTTGTGATGGCCTATCTGCAGGCCATTCTGATGGCCTATTCTTTGTCTTTGATTATTTTTATTTCCTCTGGCTGTACTCTTTCCATTCAGGATGTGGAGAATGACATGCCTGAGCCCTCCGACTGGGACAGGTTTGCTGCTGAGGAGTACGAGACTCTTGTAGCAGAGGAGTCTGCCCAAGCACAGTTCCAGGAAGGGTGAGTGAATCTCCCTGTGTCTACTAGCACTTTTTTAGCAGGGGTAAACATCAGGAATATTAAAACCACGTTAAAAAATCAAGCTAGTAATCCTTTCCTATTTTTGCCATTTTTGGATATCATAAAAATAAGTGATTTTAAATAACTTTGGTCGCATGAATATTTTCCCTAGCAGTCTTTCTCTTTCCCTCCTAACTAATTTCCTGAAGAGTCTTCTCATGTCCCACTTCCTTTAATGCAGCTGTACCTTTTGTCGTGTAGTCATACTGCTTTGTTAGCTTGTAAATACGGGAGGAGCTGAAAGAACTAAAGCTTTTTAAAATAATAAAGATAACCATGTTTAAAACAAACTTTTATCATATATGGTGTTCTGCATTCAACCTTGAATGGGAAGTAACTTCTACATAAAATTTACTATAGTGTATAATTCATAAAAGGACCGTGGTGAAGAAATTAAATTATGAGGCTTTCACTGCTTAGAATATTTCAGTAACTTTATAATTTGTTGGCTCTTTCCCTCACCTAGCAATTCCTTTACCAGTTTCTCTAATTCTTCCTTAGTCATTGTTTTTCTAAGGCTCTCCGTACTTATTAATATAATATATTTTTGACTAGGCAGTACATTCATATATTTAATATTCAAAAAAACAAAAGAAGGGTCAAAAGTTTCCTACTACTCAGTTTTCTTCCTTGAAGCAACCACTGTTATCATTTCTTCTGTACCATTCCAGAGACACTTCCTTCCTCACACTCTCACATATATTTACACATATGGAGAGATAGATAGACGTACATGTATAAACACACAAATACACATATACATTCTTTATTTTTTCTTACACATATGGTAGCATACTATATTCATGCTTATTAACTTGCCTTTTCAACACTTAAAGTTTTGTTATACCAAATCAATAAATTCTAGAGATCTGCTGTACAACATACTTACCTATAGTTAAAAACATGGTTTTGTACACTTATAAAATATGTTAAGAATTCAGATCTCATGTTAACTATTCCTACAGAAAATACACACAAAAAAAATACAGAAAAATTTTTGGAGGTGATGGATATGCTTAGTACCTTGGTGGTTATAATGACATCACAGGTGTATATGTATGTCCAAACTCATCAGGAGGTATTCATTAAATGTGTAAACTTTTTTTGTATATCAAATAAACTTCAATAAAGCTAAAAACAATAACAGCAAAGATTGGAAGAAAACCGTGGTAAACCAAGCACTTGTATTTTATGATCACTGAGGTATAAATGAGGCTTCACAAATATGTTGGAGTCCTTGAGGAATAAATTAATGAAAGCATAACTGAAGATTGGTGGGGAAAGAAACCAATAAAATTGGAGGCTCTTTCACAGATGTAGCTAATGAATGTTTTAGGTTTTTTACAACTGCATAATACTCCACTGTCTTGTTATACCATTATTTTACAGTCCTTTGTATGTGGACAGTATATTTCTAATAGTTCACTTTAGAAATATAATGTTATTGTGCTCTGGCTGCTGTGGCCCAGTGGACTGAGCACTGACCTGCAAACCTAAAGGTTATTGGTTCAATTCCCAGTCAGGGCACATGCCTGGGTTGCAGGCCAGGTCCACAATTGGGGGTGTGTGAGAGGCAACTGATCTATGTATCTCTCACACATTGATGTTTCTCTCCCTCTCTATCTCCCTCCCTTCCCCGCTCTGTAAATAAATAAAAATCTTAAAAAAAAAAAAAAAGATAACACCTGTTTGGATAATGGACTCTTAGTTTAGGGTTATTTTTTTTAAAGAAATATAATGTTGCAATAAATAATTTTATGTGTGTTTTATACACATGTAGGATAAATTTCTAGGTTTAGCAAACACAGCATACTTGCAAAGACAGAGGATTTAAGAAAAACCAACAAGAAATGATGCAGACATCCAGAACTAGCAACAATAGGCAACCATTTCTATACCTAGTCCAAAAGGACAAGGAGATGAAACCATCACCAGAATCCAAAGGTAGTAGCTATGGAGAGGATCACCTGACAGGACTGTGACCTTCAGTAATGGGATTTAGCCAGCATATGGCAATCCAGCTAAGAGAAAGCTGCTTGAACAAATACCCAATTTCATTCTCTTCATATTCTTCGGTATCCTGCTGGCATTCTCCATTGGCTTTCAACCAGAAACCAACAGATAAGAGAACCCACTGATGTGGTCCATTTGGGTCTGCCTCAGACACAGAGCTAGGGGAAGAGTAGATCTAGAGGGATAAACAGAAAATACTCAGGTCAGTAGATCATGTCAAATAGTCTTCCATAGAGACTATATCATTTTTTACCCCTACCATTAAATCTTTAATATCTTTTTTGAGAGTACTAAAAAAGCCATCACCAAACCACTTTCTTTAACCTGGAGATTTTCTTAATATACGTAATCACAAAACTGGGGTCTCATTTTTATAATAATGACCTGGAAACCCTTAAAATCATTCATCATTCATTGATTATCCTGAGGCTGACTCCATGAGCGGAAGAGACTGGCAGGTGGCTTCACAAGCATGATTTAAAGTTTTTTGGCACTGAGCAACCTTAGGAGGAATTAGGGCAGTTTTAATGATCTTATGAAGCAACATCTAAGTAGCTAATAGAAAGATGAATAAAATTTATCCTATATATGCACAATGTAATCCTATGTAACCATTCAAAATCATCATTTGGAGGCATATGTCTTGACTATCATAAAGAAAAACTAGGGAGATGGGAAAAGGCTTTGAAAGATCAAGTAAAATGGGGCCTAGTCAGGTAGCTCAGTTGGTTAGAACATCATTCTGATAGGCCAAGGTGGCAGATTCTATCCCTGGTCAGGGCACATACAAGAATCAACCAAAGAATACATAAATAAGTGGAACAACAAACTGATGTCTGTCTGTCTGTTTCTCTCTCTCCTTCAAATCACTAAGTTAAAAAAGATCAAGTAAAATGGGATAGAAAACAAAATTAGGTATATGTAAGAAAAACTAAAGGGATCTAACATATATATTACATAGAAGAAATAGAAAAAATTCAAGGGTAATAGAAAAGTTCTTTTGAAATAAAAGACATGAGTCTAAAAGGTCAGGTTCTGTTATACAAGATGAATATACTCAGGAAATACTGATAATGATTGACCCCAGATGTGTGGTGAACTTACCAGAATTCAAAGGTAAATAAAAGTTTATTTGGGGTAGGGTCCATTTTTCAAAGTGCAAGTCACCAGAAAGCAGGGGGAGGGGGGGAATCAGTCTTGCCTCGGATATCTCCACAGTAAAAATGAACACTGAAATACCATGAAACAACATTTCCAACTTTCTCAGAGAAAGTCTATACCCCAAAACTTTATAGTAACCCCAGAGGACATTCAAGCATAAAAACATATGGATATTTTCAAATATTTAATAACTGAAGGGAATATAGCACCTGTGAGCTTTTCTTTAAGAAGGACATAATATAAAACCAAAAGATAAACCAAAATGAAGAGCCCAGAAATAAAGCAGCCATGGTGGAAAAGAAGTAACAGTGTGACATCAGCATCATAGCAGAATGATAAGATTCCTTTGTTTCTCCCCTTACATTTACAAGTCAGACAACTATAACTCAACAAAGGATACCCTGCACAACAAACAAAAATACCTGAAAGATCCACCCAATGGTACATCCAAAGGTGTGCCTCTTGGGGTGAATAGAGGAGGGGGGACAAGGATAATGGCTGCAGATGCAGTTGGGTGCCTACTGTGGCTCCCGCAAGCATGGTAGCAGTGAAGAAGTCGAGCTGCAGCCCTCACACTGTGGCCTGGAGTAAAAGAGGTTCAGAAGCAGTGTTCCTCTGAGAAAAGGCATCTCCTTTCCTCCCTCCCCATCACAACAGACCCCAGTAGAGGTGCTGACAGCCGTTGCTGATGGGGGTAGAACCACAAGATTTCAGACTTTCACCCCGTGCACTACCCATTCTGTCAGAGCTCAGTAGAGGCAGTGCAGATGCTTCCAAAAAACATGGCCACACCAGAGACCCAAACAGGAAATAGCACTGGCAGCTCTCAAAGCCAGGTCTCCATCACCTACCATATGATCCCCACCACAGTGGTGGTGTCCCATAACCCAGGAGCGCCCATCACAGGGGACACCCATTACTCCACTGCATACATGGCATTTTCTGTAAATGAAACAATGAAAAAATGCCAGTATGAGCCCAGAAGCACATATAGTGCAAGTAACAGAAAACAAAAACTTGTGCTGTAGCACCATCTAATGGAGAAAAACAAAAGTACCCTGCCTATCAACCTGCTGATTTGGGAGCAAAACAGTATCTAAACAAGAAAATAGCTAAATAGCTCAAATGTGTGTCAGAGAAACAATCCATCAAATACCATGAACAACCAAGGTAACATGGGAGCACTGAAAGAAAATGAAAAGTCTCAAGAAACCAAACTCGGAGTCATGGAAGATTGTCACTTAAATGATTATAAGATTGCAGTTGTGAAGAAACTCAGTTAAATACAAGAGAACTCAGAAAAGCAGTTCAGTGAACTCATGAATAAAATTAATGAACACCAGGATAACTTTACCAAAGAGACTGAAACTATCAAAAAAGAACCAAACAGAAAATCTGGAGCTGAAGAACTTATGAGATGAGGAATGCATTACAAAAGCACTGGGAATAGAGCCAACCAGATAGAAGAGAGAATTAGCAAGCTCAAAGATATAAACCTAGAAAAGACCCAGGAGGAAGGAGAGTTTTTTAAAATGAGAGAACTGTACAAGAACTACCTGACTTCATTAGAAAGAGGATCATAGGGATAATGGCTATACCAGTAGGAGAGGAGGGAGAAGGGAACAAAGAACCTACTCAAAGAAATAATTGAGAATTTCCCAAGTCTGTAGAAAGAACTAGGCTTTAGAATAAAGGAAACTAACAAAACAACTAATTATATCAACACAGAAAAATCTTCTCCAAGACAAATATTATTCAAATTGTCA